CTCACCTCCCCACTCTCACACACCCATCGCCCCCACCCCGACTCCCCCACCCCTAAATATCTCAAAATATTATTTAGAGTACCTTCTTTCCATGATGTAGAAAATGCATTTTCTTCCATTTCAACAAAATAGGTACTTTCTTTTTATGACATAAAAAAAATATTTTCTTTCACTTCAATAAAATGACTACTTTCTTTTCATGGCGTCGAATGATTTATTTAACTAACTGTTATTGACAAAAATAATCATCAAACATGAAACAAATCTGAAAATAAAAAAGAAATACATTATCACAACAAAAAAAACAACAAATAAAATTTATATCAATAAAATAAAGGACGGGTACTGAGCTATTTTTATCACGATAAAATAAAAGAAAGTACTCATTTTATTGAAATGAATGAAAATACGTTTCTATAACATGAAAAGAAAATCTTCTTTTTGTTGAAATAAAAGAAAATATTTTTCCTACAACAGAAAAAAAAGTACTCATTTTGTGGAAAGAAAATACTTTTTCTACATCATGAAAAGAAAGTACTCTTTTTGTTGAAACAAAAAAAAAATATTTTTTCTATAACATGAAAAGAAAGTACTCATTTTGTGAAAAAGAAAATATTTTTTCTATATCATGAAAGAAAGTATTTATTTTATTGCAATGAAAGAAAATACTTTTTCTATATAAAAAAAAAAGAAAGAAAATATTCATTTTGGTGAAATGAAAAAGGAAATACGCTATNGGGGTGGGGGTTGGGATGGTGGGAGATGGGTTAAGGTGGGTGGGTGGGAAGTTTTAATTTTACCATTTTTTATTATTCTAATTTTTGTTAGTATTATAAGATGAAGAATTATCAAATAAAGTTCTAAATCTAAATTGAAGAAAGAAATCATTAGGCATGAATTGTCATTTATTCCAAAACATAAGATAATTTTTATATATGCTTGTTTAAAAGTTGATAATATTGCAAAGTTTTGGGTCATCTTGGGCGAGTTGAGTTACAACCCTTTGTTTAGCTCATCTTGACCCAGCTCACTTAACCCAAGTGAACTTTGGGCAGGATTGGGTAATGACTCATTAAATGAGTCAGTCCATCTTGATCCAGCCTATTTTAACCCAAGTAAACTTTGGGCGGGGTTGGATAATGACTCATTTAATGAGTCAACCCACTAGTCCAAATAGCCCATTTCCCACCCCTATCATAACCAAATTTATACAGTCTATTGGCTTTTAACTTACTATTCAAAGCTTTAGCGACTAACTATAGATGAGCTTAAAAATCAAGTTGCCAGTGTTGCTTATGGTGAACAGTAAATAAGCTCATAAAACTTTACAATGAAACAGGAAAATCGGAAAGCTTTCTTCAGTCACCTCCCCATCTCTGTTTACTTCACAAAGTTTAACATTCCACCCCGACAAAAAAAAATTGCTTGGGAAGGAATTTTGCTTAAACTCCATTTGTATGAGCTTTGTGATAAAAAAATGAATCTTGGGCCTAAAAACGAGAATTGGGACTCATGCTTTGATACCATATTAAAGAAATGAACTTTGCGTCTAACTCTAGCTCATGAGTTGAGGATTGCCCAAACCATATTAAGGAGACCAAAGGGATCTTTACACAAGCAGCTAGCCAATCATATTATGTAACGGAATACATGAGGATTCATATCAGTGTTCCCAACAAGTTTGGCATTGAGGATTAATTGATTTAATGATTGAGAAATCTTTGTTTTGGACAAGCTGCTAGTACCACATACAAACAATTAGAACGAAAATTTCAAACCAATATGTACAACCTTCAATACACACCAGATTTCCACTGTTTGCTTTAAACCAATATTTACATTATTCCATAATTTGTATTAACACACTTCCTTTACCTTTTTTTTGGTTCATTTGAATAGAAAAAGAAACAATAAAAATTTAAAGCTAGGAAGCTAGGACAGAAGCAACTTCACAAGGAACAAAACCACTATGAATAACAACATCAACAACAACAATGAAGTTAAAAACACTCAACTGGATTCTCATTCACAGCTTCACAATCCTTCTTGTTTCTTTGAAGAGGCTTATCTGGCAGACAGTTCCGACGATCATCGGATACAATGCCCTTTGATGTCAAGTTGCTACAAATGCCTTGCTCCTCACAGAAATAGTTATAAGAGAATGTGAAGTTTGACAGATTAGGCAAAGCACATATTCCTTCTTGCACAATTCCACTCATCATATTATGTGCTAAATTTAGCATCTCCAAATGAGCTAACCCTGCTATAGTATAAGGAATTGGCCCTACTAACTTGTTATTGCTCACATCTAGAACTCTTAACTTGTACAAGAATCCAACTTCAGGAGGCAAACACCCTGTTAAACTAGTATTAATTAGGAGTAATTCTTCTAATGTGTTTGCAAAGTTGGCTATGCTAGGTGGAAGTTGACCTCCAAAGAAGTTATTCGCGAAAACAATAACAGAAGCTGAACTTGAGCCTAAATTTGATGGGATTACAGACGTGAGACGATTGTTGTTAAAGAAAATGGCATCAAGATTCTTGCTAAAGAGTTGAGAAGGCAATGGCCCTTCGAATTCATTGTAACGAAGATCAAGATACTTTAACGAAGGAAGAGAGAGGACGACGTCAGGGAAAGGACCTACAAACCTGTTGTTACTAAGATCAAGCTCATATAAGAGAGTTAGATTGGATAAAGTAAGCGGAAGGATTCCACAAAAACGATTACTGTTTAGGTGAAGCAATGCTAAGTCATTGAGAAGGCCGAGTTCATCAGGCAAGAAACCGGCTATATCAGCATGGTTTAAATCAATGCCAGCAACAACTTGGATTTTTGTGTCATTAGGGAGTTTTGAGCAGTAAACTCCTGTGTAATTGCAAACTGAAGGACCTATCCAATTGGTAGTTAAATTGTTAGGATCAGAGTAAATCACGCGCTTCCAAGCCTGTAGAGCAATGTAGGCTTGATGGAGCCGTGGATTTGCTATAGCGTTAATGGAGGAAGAATGGCCACGACGATTATGGTGCAGGGCGGTTTTGTGACCATTTTTGGCTGTTAAGTTGTTGAACAAGGATGTAAGACTTAGTATCAAGATAATAAAGGTGGTGGTGGTGGTGGTGGTAATGGGATTGGAAAATGAAGCCATTTTTGTTAATTAGTCTCTGCAATGCAAGCAATTATACGCATGTCTTGGTTTTTATAGGGTGAATTCTTTTTATTTGGAAAGAGTTTTTAGTCCTCTAGTTAATCATGTAGCTTCTGAACAATTTAAGTGATAATCCTCTAACCATTTGACCTCTAAAAATTTACATTCTGCAACAACCTTCTACGGCGACACTTAACTGTCAAAAATAATGACAACACAATTATATCTAAGTTATGTTTTCATGCCTTTCTATGATGGTTTATGTGAAATTACTCAAAATTCTAGACTCTGTAAACCTTAAATGAATGTAGATAGTTAATTTTTCTTGAGAATAAGACACATAAGTAAAACAGAGGTAGAAGAAGATGTGCATGAGATGGACCTCTCTCCTTACAGGTAGCTTTCTCAGTTGTTTGAAGTGGGATTTGAGAGATACAAAATGGATGAAGGGGGCTGGATTTTGACTTCAATTTGAAGGGATAAGCTTTGTTTCATAACAAAGTCTTGAGGTGATCAAAGTTGTACTAGGAATAGCTTTATGTGATGGTTTGGTCAAAAACCAATTGAAGCATGACCATTAAGGGATGTTACATAAGCATACTTGGTTTGCACCACTTGATACAAGGAGTTTTGAGTTTAGTATACTCCCAACTCACTGACTTAAAATTCTAAATCCATATTTAAGTATGAATAAAACAAACATGGTTTCTTTTACAACATCTTGAGCACTGCATCTCTGCCTAATCTGACTATATGCTCCCAGCCTTCGAGCATCTCCGAGGACAATCAAGATCGCATCAAGCTGGACGTATTCATGATTTTTTGTAAGAGGTGTCGAAATTAACAGAAGAAGGGGAACAAGGGTGGAGCTGGCTTTGCAGTTGTGGGTTAGACCGAACCCAGTAACTTTGGTCCAAATATTGTATTTGTCTTTTAAAAAATTCCATTGAATTATATACAGATTGCTAATTTAGAACATAGTAGCTCGAAAAGATTAGAATTCGAACCCATAAGCAGCAAAAATTGACTCCGCCTTTGATATGGGAATAATAACTTTAATTATCATACATCTAAACAAGAAATGGCCTTAGTATATTGATTTTATTGAGTCCATTTTTTCCTACTTATCTATTTTCGCACAATAGTAAAAAATTCGGCGAAGCCGTCACCATCTCGTTAACCGTGCATCCGCCCTTGCCATCAAGGTCCTATTCTAAAGGAAGAATTTCATATTTGTACGTATGGTCATACGAAATTGCATCACGCAGGTAGGTCTATTTCGTCAAAACTTATCTTATCAAGGATTACTACATTTGGGGTGTGTTTGGTAGGAAGGAAAACATAAAAATATTTTTCAATTTTTTCATGTTTGGTCGGCTTAAATGATTTAGAAAATATTTTTCTTATGAACTCATTTNTTGTAATTTTAAATTTTTGTTTTTTCTTTTTTTCTGCACCATCCAACCCCCCACCCCGCCATAATTTTGAAATTTCTGTTTTTTCGGTGTTCTGCACTACCCACCCCACTGCCACCCCTTCCCCCCTGAAAAAATATTTTTTTATATATATTTTCAGTTTTAGTTTTTTCATCTTTCGGTTTACAGGCTCGAAATTTTAAAAGTTCCAAAGTTATGAGTTCAGAAGCTTATTTGTTTGGAAGTTTACGGGTTTAGAAATTATAAAGTTTACGGGTTCGAAAGTTCGCGGTTTCGGAAGTTTATGAAATTTGTGGGTTTGGAAGGTTGTTGGTTTGAAAGATTATGACTTCATGTTTATTGTATCTAAATTATTTATGAATACTCTTGAGAAATTATTTTTCCTTAATTTGCGTACCAAACACCGAAAAATAAATAAGATTACTACTTATTTTTCATGAAAATATTTTCTTCCAGTTATACCAAATACACCCTTGGTTTTAGAATTATCTGCGAATAAGCAATGATGCATATGTTCGTCACCAATTTTGCATCCACAAAATAAATAACTGCAATAATAAAATAAATGTGAGAAATAATCATTTTATTGATTTGTATTTATGAGTACAACTCGGTTTGTATCCCCTAATTCTATACCTCGATTTGTTCACCTTGATCCGACGGCTGATAAAGTGTCTTTCGGATGGACTTTTGGTGATATATTCATGAATCTTCAAGAACTTTGAGCTGTACTTTGGATTGTTTTCTAGGGAAAGGCCTCTCGCGAACTCTCCATCTTGCTATAGACTTCCAGAAGAAGATATGGACCGCCTTTTGCTCTCTCCTTCCTCCAGCCAAGAGGGGAGCATGTGACCCCTTTATATAAATGTGAAGTATGAACCAGGAGTTAGGTAGAGTAGTATCCAAGTAGTTCTAGGGGACCGCTGGGCTTGAAGACTATGGATTGGCCTTGTCATGTAGTGGCTTTAATGCCTAGCCAAAATGTGTAAAAATTGTACGGGTGCCTTATTTGGTCGCCTCATTTAACCTATATCTATTTTTTTTTATAGTTTTAACTTGTACCCACTTTTTAAACAACTTCAGCCCCCTTCTCCTTCTTCGTTTTCTTCTTCTTCTTTCTTCTGATGTTGTTGGTGCTGCTATGAAACTTCAGTTCATGGGATGATTGCCATAAGTATGTTTATCATATTATTTAAAAGTAAATTATAAATAATTACGTAAGTTAGTAAACAATCATTTGTGAATATTTCCACGTATGAGAAGTTTAAGGTCACACTTAATGATTCTTTTCATGATAATTTATTCTTTTCACGTTTATTTTTTCCAAAATTTATGATTTAGATACTGTTGGCAATTTGATTATTTATCTAGTATGTTAGAAAGCTTTTTCAAAAACTTCAGCTTATATAGTGCTGAAGTTTTTACAAATGAACTAAATAACTTCAGCATCTTCTGCTCAAGTTTTTGAAAAAGCTTTATGACAAAACTAATGAATCCAAGACAAATTAGTGCTGAAGTTTTTACAAATGAACTAAATAACTTCAGCATCTTCTGCTGATGTTTTTGAAAAAGCTTATCCAAGACAAAAAAAACTTCAGCTTATTTAGTGCTGAAGTTTTATAAATGAACTAAATAACTTCAGCATCTTCTGCTGAAGTTTTTGAAAAAGCTTAATAGCAAAACTAATGAATCCAGGACAAAAAAGCTTCAGCTTATTTAGTGCAATTACAAACAAAAACTTCAGCAAATAGAGAACAAAACTTCAGCTATTATGCTTAAGTTCAGCAATTACAAACAAAAACTTCAGCAAATAGAGAACAAAACTTCAGCTACTATGCTTAAGTTCAGCAATTACAAACAAAAACTTCAGCACACTTGGTTCAGCACACTTGCTACTTCAGGCCCGTCTACTAGAATGCTGAAGTGTTGCGTGATTGTTTTTGCTACTTCAGCCTCGTATGCTAAAGTTACGCGAAAAAGTGGGTACGCTTGTAATTTTTGCAAAGCGGACACAAGTTAAAACGTGACCCAAAAAGCGGGTATAGATGCAAATGCCCCAAAATGTAATTGGACTTAAATTAAATCGTTTGGTTTTGACTTTAATAAATCCATACTTATTGATTGAAAATTAATTGGACTTAAATTTCTTTTCTTTTTTTCCTTGTATCCAATTGTTTTGCTTTTTGTTTATTTCAATGAATCTACATGACCAAAATGAGAAAAGAAAATACAAGCTTATATATTTTTTACACCAAAAGGAGGAGTCAGGCTTTCTGTTTGGACTTTTCTTTTCTTCAAGCTGGCAGCCGCCATTTCACTTTCTCCACTTCCTCACTAATATTGAAGTGCCTAAACTAAAATTTCAAATTAGACTATACCTAAATTCTACCTTTATATAACAGAATGTACAAACTGATCATAATATATAAAAATAATTTTCAATACAAAATATATACACAAATTGTTAAAAAAAAATCCAACTCACTCCTTACCACTTTTTAAATCTGTCTATCCATTTTAAAATTTAAATAGTGATTTATAGTGCTCATATCTCACTCATTTTATGCCTTTTTTTTTGGTTCGGCACTAATTTTGAAAAATCACAAAATATATCATTAGTTAAGTACCACTCATAAAAATATCCCACTATTTTTCCTATTTATCTTCACATTTGCATGTTGCAGCATTTCTTTATTGTCATTTTCTTAGTTCCTTGACTTTAGACACAGATAATTAAATTTTTCTTTTGGGTGAAACAGTCATCAAGAGTTCATTCATTTTTATGATATTTCCACTATCCTGAAAAATCTTGGGATCTTTATACAAATGTCGTTCGGATTCAGTGTTTACTTTTTCTAGCCGATATATATAGACTATATATTGATTATATACTTTATACACATATTATACATGAATTATACATATATAATATAGTTATTTTTAGTTTAAATGGTTTTTTTGGTTGACCAAGTATTTTTTGTCAAATCTTTGACCAAGTGTCCTTTCAATATTCCCCTTTTCCTATGTAACCACTTGCTTCTCATAATTTTTTCTGGCATGAGAGTTACATGTGCTTCTTTCTCAGAATGAAGCAACACCTAAAAACTCTTCTTCTCTACCTGCTAATAACCATACTTTCTAGTATTCAATCAGCTTCAGCTATTGATTTTGTCTTCAATGGCTTTAAACCATCAGATATGTCAGCGTATGGGGATGCTAATATTGAATCTGGAATACTTAGCCTTACCCTTGATGCGATTTCCTTTTCAGATGGTAGAGCTCTACACCCTTCAAAAATTGTCACAAAAGCACCCAATTCATCCCAAATTCTTCCCTTTTCAACATCTTTCATTTTTGCTATGGCGCCTTATAGGGACAGGCTACCAGGACATGGCATAGTTTTCTTGTTTGTGCCACACACAGGTATTTACAGGGGGTCGAGTTCTTCACAGAATTTAGGTTTCTTTAACTTCACAAATAATGGGAATCCCGATAACCATGTCTTTGGGGTTGAGTTTGATGTTTTCAAGAATCAAGAATTCAATGACATAAATAACAACCATGTTGGAATTGATGTCAATTCTCTTGAATCAGTGTTTGCTCATGAAGCAGGCTATTGGCCTGATATGTACAATAAGTATAATGATAATGGTAGCCTAAATGAAGAGCCTTTCGAGACTTTAAAGTTGAATAATGGAAAAAACTACCAAGTTTGGATTGACTATGCAGATTTCCACATTAATGTTACTATGGCACCAGTTGGTATGAAAAGGCCTAAGCAACCTTTGTTGGATTTCCTTCTGAATCTTTCTCAAGTTTTTAAGGATGAGATGTATGTGGGGTTCACAGCATCCACTGGATCTCTTGCTCAAGGTCACAAGATTTTAGCTTGGAGTTTTAGTAACTCCAATTTTTCGATTAGTGATGCTTTGATCACACATGGGTTGCCTTCATTTGAGCTTCCTAAAGATCCAGTCTATCGATCGAAGGGATTTATTGTAGGTATGACAATATCACTCTTCTTTCTTGTTATGGTCACTTCTGTAGCTTCATTGTTTCTAATTAAGAGAAATAGGAGAATAAAAAGGGAAAAAGAGTGTACGGAAGATTGGGAATTGGAATATTGGCCACATAGGATTACTTATCAAGAAATTGATGCTGCAACAAAGGGTTTTGCTGATGACAATGTGATTGGAGTTGGAGGTAATGGGAAGGTTTATAAAGGGGTTTTGACTGGGGGTTCAGAGGTTGCAGTAAAGCGCATTTCTCATGAAAACAGTGAAGAGGGAAGGCAATTCTTGACTGAGATTTCAAGTCTTGGTAGGCTAAAGCACAGAAATTTGGTGGCATTAAGAGGCTGGTGCAAGAAAGGCGGAGGCAGCCTGATTTTGGTTTATGATTATATGGAAAATGGGAGCTTGGATAAAAAGCTGTTTGAATGTGATAAGGGAAACATGTTGAGTTTTGAAGACAGAATTAAGATTTTGAAAGATGTGGCATTAGGGGTTCTATACTTGCATGAGGGGTGGGAGGCAAAAGTGTTGCATAGGGACATTAAGGCTAGCAATGTTTTACTTGACAAGGAAATGCATGCAAGAATTGGTGATTTTGGTCTAGCAAGAATGCATGATCATGGTCAAGTGGCTAACGAGACTCGAGTTGTTGGCACAGTTGGTTACCTGGCGCCAGAGTTTGCCAAGACAGGCCGTGCCTCCACGCAAACTGATGTGTTCAGTTATGGAGTTCTAATATTGGAGGTGATGTGTGGAAGGAGGCCAATAGAGGAAGGCAAGCCACCTTTAGTGGATTGGCTGTGGGAACTAATGAAACGGGGCGAATTGAGTAATGCCTTTGATAATCAATTAAGGAGTAATCAAGGATTTAATGAAGAGGAGGCGTTAAGGGTATTGCAATTAGGGATGATATGTGCGAGCCTAGACCCCAAAGCTAGGCCAACCACGCGACAAGTGGTGAAATTCTTTGAAAGGAACTCAGAGGTAGATGAATCTGAAGCTGAGGATATGGATTTTTACCTTCTGGAAAGTATGAGACCGAATACCATACTATCCAATTATTGTTCTTCCAGGCATATTTCTTGGACAAATTCTCTAGTGGAGGGTAGGTGACTTTAACTTACATCTCTGCAGACTGTAGAGATGAAATATGATTGTTGGTTTTTCTTCATCACTCTGCTCCTTGTTACCTTCATCTCTATACTCCCAGGGTCTATCGTTGGTTGAATTGGCAATGCTTCTTCATGAACAAATTATATAAGATGGCTAAGGAAAAAGGGTTGGTTTTGAGATATATGTGTAATTGTTTTTCTTTTTTATTAAATGGTTGGAGATATATATGGTTGAATTGGCAATGCTGCTTCATGAACAAACACAGTTCCTGACCTGAAGGCGATGGGGGCTGTTAATAACGCTCTGGTGTAATGGCCATGATTCATCCACCAGACTTGGTTTCCTGTCTCCTTAGAACTCAATGATATATTGGTACGAGCCTAAGGAATAGATTCTGTTCTAGTAAGGTCGCGTGTATGTGTGTGTGTATATATATATATATATATGCATTTGTTTCTTTTTTATACATTAAGGAAACATTTGATATGATGTATTAGAAGAAACAATCATGGTATAAAATTTTGTACTTAATTATCTAGTGTTGGGTATTCGTTATTAACTTCTGCAAGTTAGTCCTTGTATAAGTTATACATCAAGTCATGTATTATCTCATACCTAATGCAATATGAAAGAACAATACTTTTGTTGGTCATACCATGATAAAGTTTTATAAAACAAACCTGCCCTTGATTATAAGTTTTTTCCTGATCAAACCTCTTTTAGGATATTTAAGTGTACAAGTTTTTATTTGTTCGAACGTACTCTAGCAACTTTACATAAAATACAAATTTATATCAAATGCGAACTGCTAACTTATCCCAACATGGAAATACTAAAAAAAACTCAAAGCCGGGGTCCCAAGTGGGAAAAGTGAAAGAAAGAGAATGGGATTTAGGGTAGAGGTATTGGTCGACTATTAGGCATTAGAAATTTCTTTTCTAATTTCTTTTGTTGTGCATGAGATTGCAGGGGAGTACGTTCGCTAGTATAATAGCCTGTTTGGCCAAGCTTTTGGAAGGAAAAAAAGTGCTTTTGAGAAGAAGCAGAAGCAGTTTTGGAGAAACAGAAAAAGTAGTTTCTCTCCAAAAGCACTTTTCTGAGAAGCACTTTTGAGAAAAAATACACTTAAGAGCAGTTTTCAAAAGCTTGGCCAAACACTAATTACTACTCAAAAGTACTTTTCTAATTAATTAGTCAAACATAAATTACTTCTCACCAAAAACACTTTTTTTAAAAGTACTTTTGAAAAAAACACTTCTCAAAATAAGCTGATTTTAGAAGCTTGGCCAAACGGGCTATAAAACTCAAAGGAATTAACAGGGGCCCACACAAGCGGTAGAGCATGTGGTTTAATCCTATTGCAAGAATTCAAGATTGATATACACATCACTTGTTCTTGAAAACCAAACATATTTGCTATTTACCTGTAATTTACATCTTGAAGATAGGTCTCTGATCTTAGGGCTCCCCAGCCAAAGATATCAGCTTTCCGTCTAGAATTCTCTACTTGGAAATAACTACACATTTCCCACATAGTTTGCTCTAGACTCAAGTAAATGTATTTCTAAAGAAATCTGTTTGTGGTGTAATACAAGAAAAGAATAGGCAGTTATCACTTGAACAAGCTATTACATTACTAATGTACATTACAGGTCATCTGCACAGCAGTCTGGTGAATCTGTGTTAACTTTCAATAACTTAGTGAAGTCTTCTTAAGTATGCTCTCAGTCTGCCAACCTGAAATAAAAAACAAAACTTTGTCAACACATTTTTTCCTTTTCGGTTAAGGACCTTCAGATATCTATTTATAGGAAAATAATTACAAGCATATGACATTTTACAACTATAACATTTTCAAAACTCCATTCACAATGACTGCTGAATTTATTAAACCGAAAGTGTCCACAAGAGCTAGCAAGTCGGTCGTCTGTTCAAATATAATTTCATGCAAAGCCATTTACCTTTTTAAACAGGTTGAGCAATGTCAGTTGCTCTATATCAATATGAATTCAAGAAATAACATCTATTCAGGCTGGTGGAAGAGGACGTCGACATGTTGGACATTCCATCTTTATGTCCATCCATCTTTGCAAACAACCGGAATGAAAGAAATGATCACAAGGTGTCACCTGAATATCGAGAAATTTTGTAGTTAAAATCACATTCTAATAGGAACTCTAAATTAGGAGAGAAAATTTTATCATGACTATATATATTACCATGCAATTATTTGAACGTTGAGTAAGATCAATAGCAGCCATACAAATAACACAATCAGCGGCACTATTGGCACCCTGATCAAACCTTCTGTAATAGTTATATTTCTCGGGTAAAATCTGCAACACAACAATAAAGCTTACAAAAGATAGGTAAAAGGGCAGAATGAATTATTTTCAGTTTTTCCTGCTTTCAACAATTAATCCTTTCGAGAGATTCAGCTGACGGAATAGTATCAAACCTGACGTGGAATGAACCATCGAGATCCAAGATAGTGCTGCAGAAGAAGAATTGCCGCCTGCAACGCCATAAAAACTCCCAAGCAAATGGACCAATTCTTGTCAGGCTCTATACGCATGAAATTGTGAGGACAGCCAAAGACATATAATGGGATTGCCAGACGAGTTATACTCATTCCCAGGATGTAATGAGGGTGCAACGGTTTTCTCGAGTCACGAATAACATTAGTTACAATTTGAGGTATCCAAAAAGAGTGTAAAAGGAGAAGAATAGGGCGTAGAAGCTTGTGAAACTCGTACATGACCAATATACCACCTAAAAGGATCCCATCTGCAAAAGATTCAGAAAATAATAAAAAAGGTTCTTATAAAAGAGGAAAAAACAAAGGAAAAGGAAAAGTAAAAAGCGAGCAGATTGTTTATGACCAACTGCACATGTAACTCAAGTAGCCCAACTTTGAGAGGAGAGGGAGACTGGAAAGACCCGAAGCAAATGCTTCAACGTTCCTTTAGGAAATCTTTCTCTTGTACTTGGTCAAAGTTCGTTGGCTCACAACAAAAAAAAAATTGGGGAAAAGTGATAGAATAAGAAGTGGTTAATTCATTAGCCTGTCCATCAGCAAGTTGGACAAAGAAAGACGTAAATGCTGGTGAAACCAGATATGTTATTTGATTTTAACATCTAACTACCCTTTCAATTGCAGTCATGCATATTGATAACAAAGGTATGTGTATCAAACAAATCTCCAGTTGCAGATTCTGCCATCTATTTTATACAAGTCCACATTAAGTAAAAGATACTTACAGAAACGGCCGTAAAGTACTGACAGTTCACGCCTCATTGCTTCCCAAGCCTCTCCACTATTCATTGGCCTATTCGCTTTCCATATAGCAAGAAGATATCTCATCTCAAATATCGAGAAGACAACAAACTTGAAGAATGCAGCAGTTGCAAAAGCATTGAAAAGGGATTCTGCAAAAGAATTAAAGGGAGAGGTACACAGTTCCATAAGAAATCAGTGACCAGCTTATACTTATAAAGACTTAATTAACAGAGCAAGAATTGGATATAAGTTTGGAGAGACTTCTATGAAGAAAAACTATATAAAAGTGATACTTGGGAGTCAAGGGTAGGGCTTCATTGACAATATCCAACAACATAAGTTTGTTATGAGAAAAGAATGAACAAGTTAAGAATGTCAATCATTTGAAGAACCATCTACATAAACTTTTAACAGTGCTGCTTTCAAAGTGGCAAATAACGCAGAAGAATATGACATAGGTATGACTTGCATTCTGACCGCAGAACGCCTGATCACCAGAGGCGGATGCAGAGTATCGGTTCCGGGTTCATTGAACCCCGCACTTTCAACACGAAGTATATATTTATGTATAAACATTCATGAAAACTGAACCCATAACTTTAGAAATACAATGGGTTCATACTAAGAATCTTAGAGGTTGAAACCATAAAGCTTAAATCTTGGATCCGCCTCTGCTCACAAGGAATGAATAGCTTACACAGAACTCTGCGACTATACTAGTACCAGTTAGAATGACCAAGACAACAACTACCGATCAAACTTACCAACAAGTATTCCAGCGGTCAGATGCAAAAGACAAAGATAAGCATCCATGATAGCCTGTTGTCCAATCATCAGAATTGAAACTTTGGCAGCTCCCTAGAAAAAAAAATATCACATATCATTGATTGGGAGAGAGAGAGAGAGAGAGAGATGGATGGTGGTAGTCTTACTGATTGAGTGTTGCTATGTTCCATTTGTCGAATAAGAAGGAGCACTTGCAGAAAAGATATCTGGTGGATTAGGCAGTTAAGGAATCCAGACAAGTGCAGTTTATAGCAAAAATGATACTAATAATCCCTCTTTGTCATACTTTTCTTTTAAGTAAAGAATGTTATACTTCCTTATTTAGAAATAATTTAGATTCAAAATTCCAACTTTACAATTAGTTAGATGATTTATAGCCCCACAAAGTTCTATGGCTTGTTTTAAACCACAAGTTTCAAAAATCTTTCTTTCTTTCTTTCTTAAACTCCGTGCCGAGTCAAACACCGTCACATAAATTGGGACAGAGGGAGTAAAAAAGAGAAGTGTTTTAGGATACAAATGTGACCATCAATGTATAGTTCACTGCTTTGTTGTAATAAACCTCTATATTGACAGAGGTAGCATTCAATAGCATTGGTGAGAAACAGTCTCCGTCAGCATCCACTGAAGGGCTCTCTATCAATCCTTCTAGGTGATAATGATCACGAGCACCATCTGACAAAAAAAAGATAAATCACTTCTTCCTGATATTCTGCACAAGCTTATGGATGAGGTATGATCAAGGATCTTGTATCATATCAAAGGTGAAAGGTAAACAAGAAAACCCGAAGTACCATTAGTGGAGGATGAGACACGAGCAATTTGTGCAGCAATTTCAATATTACAATGTTTCTCCATCTCATAAAACGGTGCTGCAGAAACAAAAAGATACATAGCTTAAGCGAGAAGTTACAACATTAAAAACCGGATCGACGTTGAGTAAACATTATTACAGTGTTTCTTTTTCCAAATCTTATCTCGAGAAGACTCCTGGAAGATCTGGGATGAGAAAACTCCAAGCTGTCAACAAAGATAATGGATGAAGCAAGTCATTTTCAATGACAAAAATCTTCTTAACAGCTAAAAACTCAGATTACTGTCACTGGAAGAACGGAACATCCAAAAACATTTTTAAAAAACCAAAAAGAGAAATAAAAAGCAAAGGATAAGGGGGAAGGAAAACCATCTGCAGGATATGAATAGTATTAGAAGTTCCATCTCATTATCCCGCTTTTGAAAGAGAATTCTACTTATGGCTATCCAAATATGTGCTAAAATTTCAAATGTTAATAAAGAGATATACCCTGCAATTTTCTTTAGAAAAAGAAAAATACAGTAGACAAAGGGAGCTCTAAAGAAGTAGAAGAAAAAACTTCTGAAATTTGTTGTGCCATTACCAGAATATCATATAAAATTCAAAGCATGCCAAATTCTCAATGGAATTCAAGCATGGCGTTCTTCAAACATAAAGCATACAAATATGTGACACATTTGAAGAAAATTAAAGTACTTCAACCGATTCTAGCAGCAGCAGAACTCAATGTTATTGATGATCATAAGGTGACATGTCAAAACTCTTTTCAATAATCCATGCTGAGGACAAATGACATATTGTTGTAATTAATACCAAGTGATATGGATTCGACAATAGATAATCATCTTCCTGCCCAAACTCACCATCTTTGCCACTGCAAATTAGAAGAACGACTGTGAGTTGATGAAGCATGTTAAGATAGGATCTCCAACCATGTTATGTGATGTGTGAACCAATATCTAAAGTTTAAATTCCATCTTATGAAGAACACAAGATTTAGACATTCTAAAGGTGAGTAAATATCTTAATACGCAGCTACTAACTGCATCAAAACAGATAGGATTATTATTCTTGCACTGAGAATAGCTCCGCTTTCAACTTAGCAAGTACAAGAAAGTAGTCAACTATAAGTACGTACACTGCTGTTTTGGTAATTTGAACAATATGGCCTTGATAGTTTCATGCACTATAAAGCACCTTAAGTGGAACTAAACCTGGGAAATGGAGAGGTAATATATGAGGCTTTATCTTGTTATCTTTCTTTCTTACTGTAGTACATTATACCCAGGCCATTGTTTCATATAAGCTAATAGTTCCTACGTGAGGCCATATTGCTTGAACCCGAATAGAATACCATTATGTTCTCTAGACGGTCCAAGACATAATACAAATCAAATTTAACATAGATGCATCAGTCATAACCATCCATCGTCTTATGTATCATATTACAGTTCTTATCTGAGTTCATAAATACAACTTTTAATCTCAATCCTCAAGCATGATAAAAGGACTCTAGAAATAAAAGTTAGAAAAAGTTGTACACTCTTTTTTTTATAACTGAGAAATACCCGAGGGCTAGTGGCACACGGTTCGAAGCTCGGTTGGATATTTGGCCCGCCCCTCTACCCTTCTCCACTTAAGTACCAGGCTTTTGTCAGCAGTAAGACTCGAACCCCTAACGTGTGCCGCCTAGCCCACACTTTACGCGATGCACTCTTACCACTAGACCAAAGGCCTGGGCGACAATTGTTGTACATTTTTGGCATGAATTACTTCAATTTCAGCAAAGGCACCAGTTCTGACCATCCATTTATGTATCATATAACAGTTCTTCATTGGTTTTGTTAAATACTATTTTTTATCGGAATCATTCAGCAGGATAAAAGCTGGTTGCATTTCAAAGCTAGAAAACAACTATTGTACAGTTTTGGCATGAGTTACTTAATTACTTTAGCATATTTTTACATCAATTTTATTCCAGACTAGGTACCAATTAGCAACTAGTACCTGTAAGCTACCATTCGAAGTTGTCTGAATGGCCATATATATACACCTTCTACTCTGATTTGAGCACCACCAATTCCATGTTCATTGTCAAAAACATCATGGAAAATTATTGCACCCTGTTGTGTACAACGTGAAGTTAAATTGTAGAAATGTGCAATTTCTGCATAAAAAGTTTCATCATCTGAGCAAGATCAAACCCCTGCTAAATATCACTTTTAATAGTAAATCAGCAATAGAGAAAGTATATTGGACTTCAATTTTCAGAATCGCGTGTTTTCACTGCTTATGCACAACTCATCAAAGGATAGCAATACATTACAATAACGAAGCAAAGCTAGAATCAGTAAGCACATCAGACTATTCCTAGTAAGGTGTTGAGCTTACAGCTCTATAACTCACTGGTTTACAAATATGCAGGTATTTTTGGATAAGTTACAATTTGTCAAAGGGATTAGCAGGAAGAAGTTTGCTTATTCAACAAACAGCATATTTAAGGGTATGATAGAAATGCTAGGACAAATAAAAAGATGAAGAACAATTCCATTACACCACTACCACCATAAGCTATAGACTAATAGTAGCAATAGACATTTGTTCCATAATACTGCTGGGATGAAATACCAAAGTGGTTGTGGGGAACTTTGGGTAAACGACTGATGTTGTGTAAGAAGGGGAACTTGGGAGCAACAGTAAAGTTGTCTCCGTGTGACCTGTAGGTCACGGGTTCGAGCCGTGGAAGCAGCCACAAATGCAAGCATTAGGTTAGCTTGTTTACATCACACCCTCTTGGGGTGCGTCCCTTCCCCGGACCCTGCGTGAACGCGGGATGTCTTGTGCACCGGCTGCCTCTTTTTGCTGTGTAAGACTTCTTCAGCAAAATAGCAGCACAATCCTTGTCATATGACAGTATTTGAATGGATGCAAAGTATAAAATCTTAAGTTGATTTATGTACTATATTAGTGGTAGTTGGACAAAATATTAAAGAAATTCTTGACTAGTTAGTTTGATAAAGAACATCACATCAAAGTTCAAAAATTTGTACAGCTAAATGAATTTGAATTCTTGAAAGTTGTAAACAACAGTAAACGATACCTGGTATGACTTATGAGAGAAGCTCTAATAGAAAGAGTGAGTAAACTAACCAAAACATCTACTTAAAAATTAAGTAAACCTATTGGGACACAATGACGTATACAACTTTATTTTTTTAAAAGGTCAGAGACAAGTACTTACGTGGAAACAATGGAAGTTAGCACAATAATTTGTAAAGAAATTCACTTATTTAATGATGACAGGACTACCTGAACATAATGGACACCAGTTATTTTTGTTGGATTACTTATCAATTCAAGGACCGAGTTGCCATTGGACTTCCTAAAATCAGGAAACCTGGAAGAGCCATTTGTTGAATCTAGGAATCTCCAAGACCCTGCAGCTCAAATGTCCAGAAGAAGGTATTATAAGATTCAAGACAGAAAGCTATAGTAATTGATACGAGCATGAGAATTTCCTTTATGTTGTGTTTGATGAGTTCCACTCAATCACTTACAAAATTGGCCATAAGTTCTTAGCCCAGTTGGCTTAACAAAACAAATAAGGCGTTATTTTGAAAAGTAGAACAACAGTAAAGCATTCTGTTCAACTCATATGTAATATGAGCAATGCACTAAAATATCATATTTACAACCAACTTACAAACCTCTATAAGTTCCTGTTATATTCCAAGCAGAAAATGGCCCCAATTCATTTTCATCCTTTCTAACAAGAAGCCACTGCAACAAACAATAAGGATATGATTAAAGGTTAGGCGGAAACAAAAAGAAGGCCTTTTTCACTTTTGGAAATGAAATTATCTTCAGGTTCCATGTTCAAATGCAGGACTAATTTCCTTTCCAGAGTTCCATACTCATAAATGAGCTCCAAAAGTCATAACTGAGTAGAATAATTAAATATCTCATTGACCGAGTTTATCCATCTAGTAATTACATATCTTATTGACTGAATTTATCTAGGCATTTCATCATCCCTGAATTTTTTTTTATGTAAACACCAACTCTTTATTGGTGTCAAGAGTTGATTGGAGAGGCAGATATCTTGGCAGTAGGCATATACATGAAATAGTTCCAGAGAAAATTCTACTTTGTTCGGGATTTTCTCAATATAATTAGACAAGGTAATACTCATAAGAGCAAGTTTCATATAAAAGAATGGATAAATAAAGATAACCCTCAGGGGTTGGCCTGGTGGCAATTGACTTGAGCCTTGGGGTTTGCTCCCTTTC